TCCAACTCATCCTGCCGATGTAGGGAGCAACGGACCAAATGTGTCAGTTTCAATAATTAAACAAGCATGTGTATATATGTTACCTATTCTCACAAACCGTGGTAGGATCTGTACAGACCTGAAATGTCAAGTCCCAAAAACGTTAGCGTGAATGTGTGAAAATCGTTTAAATGTAATTTGTGACATACAAAACGGATCAATGACCCAGCTTTGCATTGTCCATGCATTGCAGTGTGTGCTGTGCGTGTCCACATGTGTGCCAACGCCAACGGCGATTATCGGAACCGATCATGGGGCTCCCCTAGGTTAACTCAGCCTCAAAACGAGTACCTGGTGCGCTGTGTAAAAACATCGCCACTGGGGAGATAAAGGTGGTCTGGCGTGGTGCTGGCCACCCACCCCCTCGTGTGCCTTTCCTGTCTTAATAGGTGCTCGCTAACAGCACTTGCCCCAATAGTCCGTCAAGGCTATACGGGGGATCTTTGCAGTGGCGTAACTACATTAGCAGCTCAGGGGGTGCGGCAATTGGTCAGGTGGAGCCCCAATATTTGATTTGTCTCGCACGGTCGCACCTCGGCTTCTATACATCACAAAAGTACATCCGTCTTTGTTCCTCTACACTGTTGTTGAAAACATATCTCACGGTGGTTGTCAAGGGGGGCCCAAACTCGTAGCTTTGGCTACAAGGGGTGGGGAGCAAGGCAGCCCCTGCCCCCACGATGGTTACGCGACTGGATCTTTGTTTTATTTGTGGAGAGCGGTCCTTCCCCCGCACCTCCGAATAGCACTGTTGGTTACGTGCGGTGCGCAAGAAGTTCAACATACTGTACGTACATACATAGCAGCTAGTGCGAGTTACATCGTAAACCGGTCCTGGACCTTTACACCTGCAGTGTAAGTTATTCTAAAATGTACGTGTAATACTGCAGTGGTATAAATTAGAGAAGCAACGAAGCATCGATGAATTGATCATGCTCACGTCACATGCCTCGAATAACGAATGTGGGCATCAATGATGTATTACTTTTTTCAAATGTAATTCAAATTAGCTTATTGTATCGAATTTACGCGAATGAGACGAACCCAAACTGTACAAACAAGACAGAACAAAGAAGCCCCCCCCCCCCCCCCCCCCAAAAAAAAAAATCAAAAGCAAATTAGATGGTAAAAACGATCAAATTAAATCTAGGTCGTTGAACCAAAGCCGTAACTAATTAATTATTATTACGTGTGTATTCATCGTTCGCGTCTAGCCAGGCAACAGCAGCGGCAGCAGCAGCAGCAGCAGCTTCTCCTCCCCCATGTGCGCTAATGCAGCGGTGTCGTGCTCAAGACAACCGATCAGCTTGGTCAGCGGCGACCGCCTTCCACGATGTGCGACTCTCGCCACGCGGTGACGGCTCGGGTGGTCGTCGCCTTCAGCGCCACCGCGCGCCCAGCTGCACGCTGGGGTTGGAACGATTTGGGGAAAATATTTAACCGTGATTTTTCTGACAGATATTGCGATTAAAATTTGTCTAGCTTCAGTTCAATGTTCACTGTGTCATAGATTTAAAACACGTGGTGGGGAATTACCACATGATACCATCAAAATATGAACTGTTCTATATATTCTAATTCAAGGATGAGAACTTAAAATATATGAATTGCTTCCAACATGTATTTATTAAAACGTTTTAATTGAAATAGAACAATCAAACATAGAACAATTGTTAAGTTAAATAAATGAATTTATAATAATAATAAAATAAAACAATTCCAATAAGAAAGTAATAGGAATTTTCAAATCGCAAAAAATCGCAGACTTTGCGATTTGTTAATCGCATTGTTTCAAATTGAGATTTAGATTTTAAATCTATTAATCGTTCAGCCCTAGTGCACATACACCTTGGTGGTCTCGGAACCTGTTGAGGAGGGGTCTGGCAGGTTGAGGGAGTCAGTGGCTCAGCGTTCACTTCGCACCTGGGCCTCTCTGGGGAAGCTCATGATCCAGCCAGCGACCGTCCTGGGCCCCGCCCTTTGTGTGTGTGGGGGGGGGCTCTGCCTGCGAGCTCCAACTCCAGGAGTCCCCGCCGCCTGCAGCTCTGACGTGCAGCAACACCTCCGGGTGTCACGCCGTGGGCCCGCACTCCCGACTTGTGCAGCTGAACGCCCGAGGGTCTGGCCAGCAGCCAAGCGCAGCTTAATCGGCGTTCTCGCTCGCCGTGACTATGAGCCGTGACAATTCATGCATTTTCTACGTGAGGGCGAGTGGCCACGAATTATGAAATCCAGCCGGACGATGGTGGGCGATATGCACGTGGCCTGTAATGTAGCGCTGTGGAGACGAGTTTTTTTGGTGGATCGCACAAATGTTGTGAAATCTCCCTTGCCGTGGGCGTCGAGGAGGTGCCGTACCCTGGAGAAGGCGGTACGGCAAGTGGACGAATCACCATCTGTTTCCATCTGCGTGGGGATAGGGTGTTGCCCCCTCGCGAGTAAGTTTTCTCCGGGCGCTCCGGTTTCATCCCACCGGTATAAACACTCACCATGAATGGGTGAAAAAACATTTCAAATAAAAAAAACTATCGCAGGACTCTCCCGACAAAAAAAAAAGCCTCCGACGACTCCGTGAGGCTTTCTAGCATAAATAAAATAAATAAATCAGAAGTTGTAATGCTGCCGCTCGTTTCATTGTCCACATGCTGCCACCTGCTGCTGGTTTGGCTCCAGCGACTGAGCGAGAAGTGGTGCGAGCGAAGAGACACCCATTGGCGCGTTATTCCAGTCGCACATGGGGGGTGGGGGGCACGCCAACAGGAACACATTTCTTCCGACGGGATTTCCCAAAACGTAGCGGATACAGTGGCGAGGCTATCGATCGAGTGTGCAGGCGGTGCAACTGCACCTGTGTCCACGAGCCAGAGGGGCCCAGGCGCCAGGCTACGAAGAGGGGTAGGGGATAAGGGGATAATTTGTACAGCTGGCTGCGTTTAAATTGATGGCGCCGGCTTCCAAGCCAATCACGCCAAGGCACTGAGTGCGTTTTTTTTAACGTATCTCTTGGGACTGGAGTCATCACCAGATGCCCTGTCCGCACAAGTCACCAGTAGTTGCCATAACTCTATAGACGCTGCAATCTCACCCATCTCCCTTTGCAACAGCATTGGCTAAACTGTACATGCGCTTCCTTTTCCCACGTGATTTACACGTCTCACTGATTTGAGATGCGGTTGCATCTCAAGAGCGATTGCATTGACATGCAACTATTTTAAATAGTGTAAGGCAGTTAAGGTGTCCTGGTTATACATGATTGGTTTCAATAGAATACGTGTACTATTATCCTGCCATGTTAATTTGCACCATATTCCTGTATTTTGAAAGTTTTATTTTACTTAAATTTATGAACGTAATCAATCCTCCAGAGGATATGCACCTCTTCCCGATTGAGACTTTTGTATATTTACCTGACATTAAATACAAGTCAGATTTTACAACATGAATGCACTCCAATTTTAATTGATTCTAAGCAATAACAACTTAAGGCTTTGTTAAATGTCCACACTTATTGCACACATCAACACAAGCCATTCAATCAAAACGGAGATGAGCTATAAATACAACTTAGCAACATCCCTTTTAATGTGCGAGTTATTTCCCTGAAGTATAAGATTCAATTTCCTCATTTGAGTGGTTTACCCAGTGATCAGCCAGAATGCCAGGCAGTAATGCATCGCAACATGTCCCCTATCCACCGTACGTAGCCAACCGTGCTCATCGGAGGTGCGGGGCAAGGACAGCAAACTAAACACAAAAAATCAAGGTGCCTCACTTCTCTCAACCAGCTTAAAAGACGCTGCGAATCTTAGCAGCGTTCATTGTAGCTCTGTCGTCCCGACAGGTTTGCTCCTTTCACCTGAAGAAGGCCACTTGTGTTGTGGCCGAAACGTCGTGAGAATTTTATTGTTTTATTTTATTATTTTATTCACATTATACGTGACTTTACCGAAAGAACCAAAGAAGACAAAAAAAATCAGTTCTAAATGAATGAGTCCGGCTATCGCATATGCGTTTTACATTTTGATAGTAAAAAAAAATCACGGCCCTCTGTCAATCGAGTGCTGTAATTCCGCGTCGGTACCGTGGGGATTTGTTGAACACGCTTTACAGCACGTTGGTGAGTGAGGATTGGTGATGTTTGGGAGCGGTGGGCCAGGACTGGTTCAAAACGTCACTCGCCACGCTCGGTCGGTCTTATCAGGAATTCAACTCATGTAGGTAGGTTCCGTGAACCACTCTCACTGTGCCACCACTTCCGCTAACACTCACCAAATGTTCTTTTTTAAAAGAAACACCCAACGTGACTTGCAACACCCCCAGGCGAGTACTTTCTGAATAGGTGATGTTGATCGAATGCGTGAGGAATGTCGCGTTACTCAGGCCGGAAACAACGCATTAGTCGGCAGGCAGGAGGGTTACATTTGATGGTTGCACCTGTCGGAAACTCCTGAAGTAAGGCTGTGCTTCCCACAGACTCGTACATATGACGGCACAGGTACTCAAAGAATTCAGACATTTCCTTCCCTTAAAAGGACTCTCTGTTGTGTACAATCTGTGGTGGGGAGATATAGTGTGGCGGTTAGCGTACTGCGCTACGAACAACGGTTTCCCCAGATTGATTCCAGCTCACGGCTAACATCACTCACGTGTATTTTAAATCAGTCCTGGGTCTCGCCTAGATCAACTCAGCCTTAGGTGAGGACCTGTGGCGTTGTGTAAACGTCAACACTGGCGAGAAATGTTACCGGGCACAGCGTTGGACACACCGATCCCTCCGACGATAATCCCGGCATTAATAGGTGCGCGCTTTCAGCACTTGTCCCAACATTCTGAAAATACTACACGGGGGGGGATTGTTGCGTTTTTTTGTGCAAGGGGGTTGAGACGGAGAGAGATGCATATGCTGGAGATACCACTAGTTTCCGTGCAGTTCGAAAGAGTATATTTTGTTCCAAAAAAGATTTGCTTCAATAAAAAATTTATTGATTGCATACAGCATGACATTGCAAATTGCCCACGTTTTACAGCAAACGTCAACACCTTGTTAATAATTTAACACTATCGCAGTAGTGAAAATAAGACACGCTGCCGAGGAAAAATAAACAGACCAATAGTTACATAAATAAATAAGCAAATACATATTAAAATACGACAATAACAAAAAATCCACATCACATTTACAACCTCAAGTACAGTACCACCATTGTCTTCTTTTCAAATTGGCCAATTAACCACCAAGGAATGCTCTTAAACTCACGCTTCGTGTTCACCACAGCCATACAATCGAATGTGATTCGCATCTATGAATTGGCAACTGTCAGTCTATAAGTGTAATTTATCCTGTCTTTGTATACATACTTTTTTTTTAAACATAGCTGTTATTTTTGTTATTCTTGGTTCTTTCGGTAAAGTCACGTAGAAAGGAAACAATAAAATAATACAAATTTAATACAATAAAATGCTGTGGTTTCACAGCTGATGATGATTGCTTGTGTTGCAGTCGAAACGTCGTGAGAATTGTATTATATATTTTTATTATTTTATTGTTTCCCTTCTACGTGACTTTACCGAAAGAACCAATAATATGAATCCCTGCAGTCACGAAAACTTTCAATCATATATGATTGTTTAAGCATCTACCTTAATGTAACTTCCTCTGTAAATGTCCCATCATTGCCCACTCCAGCTTGAGAGGCTGGACACCCGTAGTCAAGGCGTTCATAGCTAATCGGGTTTTTCCAGCTTAAAGCAAACGTCTTTGTTTATATATAAATTATTCAAATGGATAATCATAATCTCACATTGTAGTCAAGCATACACCCATCTTGATGCAATGATGTATTTTTAGAACAAAAAACATCGTACCATAACACGCAATGTCACGTATAAAATATCCTACGACAACATTCTATAATACTCTGTACCAGTGGTTCTTAACCTTCACTGGAGCCTTGGTTCTCAATTGTAAAAAATATATAAATATGTTATATAAATACACAGCGGTTAATGAAACAAATTTGTCAGGAAGCCACGCCCCTCCCAACATCGGAGAGGGGGCGTGGCCTAACCTACAATATTTTGAGAACGCAGGGACTCCTCTACTTACGAACGAATTCGATTCCGGAGGTCTGTTCGTAAATCGATGTGTTCGTAGGTCCAACTTTACTTCTGTCGATTTTGAACATGTACACTAAAAACTGGGAATGGCTTTAAAAGTCGCATAATCTCCTGTAGATGTAGATGCCATTTGTTCTTCATATGCAGATGCCACAACCGCCATCTAACGCACGGCGGTTGAACTTACAACTCTCGGTCCGAATGGGCAACTGGACATACGGACAGGTTTGTTTGTATCTCTGAAAGTTCGTAAGTCGAGTATTCGTAAGTAGAGGAGTCCCTGTACAGCAAATGTTTACTGTTTACATGGAAAGTCCCATTTAGCCAGTTATCCGGCTAGTTTGCCAAGGCAGATCTATTGTGTGTTAGCACAGAACAACATCAGGACAGACCATACACCCACGGTGTCAGTGTTAATCCACATCTTCCACCAATAAATAATCCACCCTCACACCACACTAACTGACAGTGGAATTCATATTATCGTAATAGAATATTTGCTAGACTAGCCTAATGACAATATAATAAATATATAGAAAATACCAATACTTTGGAATAAATTACATTCTCACAGTAAACTTTTTATTACGTGCAATATTTCGTTGATTTTTTTAATAATATCGGGGAGCTAGCCCACAGTTAAATAAATAAATAAAGCCTGCAGTCAGATCAGAGGCTGAAGGTCATGTGACCATCTTAGTCCTCCAAAGCAGGGCCATTGCTCAAAATGTAAATACCTGTTCAATAGTTGTTCTTTTAAGGCAGTGTCATTCGCCAGTATGCCAACGTTGTATGCTATGTAGACCAGTAATTGTTCATCAACACACCTATCAAGAATGTATTGTTTTCATTGGCGAGGCAACATTGTGTCACTCCACGCTACACGGCTGTAACCAGGGTTGTCATAATTGCTCGTGATTGTGAGCACCGCCGGTGTCAATTTCTGGTAACAACTGCCAAATAATTGTGCTCGTCTCGTCACTTTCAAAGAAATTCAAGTTTCACTGCTCAAGGTCACACGACTACCAAAGGAAGGACAACGAAGCTGTAGACAGAGGTATAGATGGAAGGACGAGGATCTCACTGTGGGTTCGCCTTTTTGTTCAGCACATGCAGGCTACGGGCCACCACGGATGCCATGTGCTGAAACATGTGCAGGATCTGGAAGCTGGCCTGTCGCGTTTGCCAATCGCTGGAGTAAATCTTGCTCGCCACGTCGGGAGAAATGGGCTCAACGACCAGATTATCGGAAACATCCACCTGCAGACGACACAATTGCATAACCCGTTACTCAAACTGACAACAATGAATTTACCTTACATGCATCACCAGTTGTTTGGGGATCTCCCCCACGCCAGATCACTCACGGATTTGTTTGGCTATACTTCCCCATGCTAGTCAATGCAAATTAGTGAATGGGGGGGGGGGGGGTGGGTAACGGTTCAGATATCGCTCACCACTGATGGTATAAATTGTCAGCAATGCTCGACATAATAATCATCATCATGATAGATCCACCAATGGCTCCTGAATAGCTATCATAATGAGGTGTTTCATCTCATAATATTCAATAATCATAGGCCATGTTGCATCCACTGCTGGATGAAGGCCATCTGATTCCATTGCTATTCCAATGATGCAATAATCCATCCATCTCTCGCACAGGAGCCGATCTCATGGCTGCAATGCTGTGTCACAGCACAGTCTGAACGCTAAAGCAATAATTAGGTATACTGCAACATTGTAAATTATCATCATCAGCTCTCATCAATTCACTGCTGGATGTAGGTCTTCCAAAGCCGTCGCCATGTAAAGTCTACAAATTATCTGAATAATACATTGAGTATAATAAGTATATGGAGTGCACACACCATAGCCATCATGTGCTTAGAATGTCCTTGCCAAAGGTAGAACAAGTCAACCTAATAAATGATATTGGAGAAAAACGGACTCCGTGGCTATGTAGATTTGACCGCTATCGTGTTGCATTGTACCTCCGCAGCAGAGATGAGGTTCAGCATTTCTCGAATGCCCGTCACCAGAATGTCAGTGTCAGTCGCGGATCTGTCGCGTAGAGACACCAAGTAGGTCTCGTAGATGCGGAGGTTGTGCGCGATGCTCCCGAAGCACCGGTCAAAACTCCACCCCTGTGAGACGGGAGACGTTCCACGTTCAGAGTTTGCGACGTTGCGATGTGGGGGCAGGCGTGCACGCGTGCAGGCAGACAGCAGCGGCTGAAACCTCATGATGTTTAAAGAATGCACTTCTGCGGCCGTCTGGAACGCTCTCGTCATTCCCCGCAACGTCGATGAGCACGGTTGGCTACGTAGGGTGCGAAATAAGTTCAACGACATGCAACAGCAAAGGAAGGTCCAGCCAGAAAAAAACACGTAGCTCTTACTACTACTGCGTCGGTTTTAGCGGATGTCCGAAGTTTAGTTCCACGTGCTGATGAAGCTCCCAACACGTGTAAGGAAACGTCGGACGTTGTGCCGTACATCACGCAGTTCAGTCGAACACGCATCGGAGAGCCACAGAGCTCTTATATATTGTAGATGCATTCCCGTGGCTATGGGCTTTTTTGCGCTGTCTGCCGTGAATTTCATTCTTTGTTTATGAGAAGAAGAAGACTTTAGGAATGTCTTAGAACGTTTAAAGTAACTTTCTGACACGCTAGGTGTGCCCAGATGATGTCACTGCAGCGTCGAATGCCGCAACCCTTTCAACACAGTCACTGCAACTATGAAATGCCAATTACGCCTGAAAGTAACCAGAAATAATAGGATGTTCTTTCTGGCTACTTACTAACCAGAAAGATCAGTATGTGACCCATGCTGTCATACTCATGTGTGACAGCATGGGTCACAGTTAATCCACGTATATACAAGTCAATACTGAACGTATATTTATTTGCTCTGATTTGTGCCAACCCCTTTGGTGCAGATGAATATGCTTTATTGAGCATTCAATGGCTCGAGTGTACACACACGCAAACTAACTTCGCATCGGCGCTTCAAATATCCGATTGATTATTGCAGTCCTATCCAGACGCTATCAACAGCACAGCTGAATAACTCGCACGGCAATAACGTGAATCAACGGGCAGGGGAGGGGGGTGAGTAACAAGATATTTACAACGTAGCGTCCACCACGCCGTGAATGCAATAACAGAGTCTCTGAACGAAGCGAAGGAAGAAAACAAACTTCCTCTATGTGTAGCCGTTGAGTTGAATCATTAAAAAAAAAACTACAGTTACCTTACTCCTGAAGTACGGCAAGAGACTGGTTACGTTTATTGTTGTTTAACCACGTAATATAACCCATTGAGAAATGTAAATATATAGACATTTTTTTATGAATGGTAAAATGACAACAACGGGTTTAAATAACCAGCGGGACAATGCAATGCATTTATCATCGTCCCTTATCCAGGAAATTATAACTGAGCCTCGATTTAAACAAAATGTATATGGTCCTATATTGGGACTTAAGACAATCACTGAATTATAATTTGCCTTATAGAGGAAGCCGGGGCATCCGGTGGAAACCCCATGCAATACAATGGCATAGCAGCACACAAATAGCGTACAGACAATTCAGCAACCGATTTGCTGTAACGCCTTCTGCAGGCCACCTCGCGACCACACGGCGATCAGCGGGCCAGACGGGCATTCACCTGTCTCCTGATCGCGCAGTGGTCGATCTGTGTCGGCAGTTCCTCCGGCAACTCCATAAAGAACTTCTCCTCGCAGTCGGTTTCTCTGCATTGCAGCACCTCCGTTATCTGTGTCGGGGCGGGCAGCGTGTTCGGGGGGCGGTGGTGAGAGGAGAGTGGAGGAGGCGGGGGGGGGGAGATGCGGGAGGAAGGCGGTTGAGTGTGGTGGTGGTGGTGATGGTGGTGGTGAAGTGAGTCAGATGACAGCGTAGAGGAGGCGGAGTGATGAGATGTGGTGGGGGGGTAAGAGAGAGGTGGGGGGAAAGGAGATGGCAGAACTTATTAATTACTTAAAAAAAAACGCACTCTCGTCAATTTGGTTTGGGGAAATCCCCACTCACTGGTCCAATGGGCAAGAAGCCATTCATTCACAAAGCGGGGATTTGTCGCAGATGTGCTGTGTTGAGGTGACTTTAAGACTCCTACACATAATTGTTGAGGTTCAGTTCTAACAATAACAAACCATCGAGGATGTTTCAGTGGGGAAATTACCCAAGTAATTGCTTAATAGTGGAATGAATGTACTGCAATTATTTGACATCTCTTCTAACACAAATACATCAACAAACCAGTAGCACTAAAAACCAGTGAGAGTATGTCATTCACTTCGTTTATCCATTTAGTTTATCTATAGTATGTGTTTTAATCAGACGAATAAATCAGCATCTTAGTGTAGAGTTTTCGTATTTGTGTGGACATGTTGTCGTCGAACAGGAGAGATAAGCGACAACGCCGTGAGATAACGAAAAACGGAAGCGGTGGGCAGACATAACAGAAAACAATTCCCGTTTGTTCTGTTGCATTTTCCCCCTTTCATTCCTATTCATTGCCTTATTCATACGTATAGCTACGAGACGGCAATGGCACGTTTCAATGTGTAGCGCATACATAATGCTCAAAGTGGGTAAACTCAGCCCTTCATCCCTCTGCAGGGTTGTCAGTGCAGGTTTATATTAGAAGTTACTTCCAGTTTGTGGAACGTGAACAATAGCTGTCAAGGCAATGCCTCTCCCAAGTGGGGGAATTTCCGCACACGAATGCAAGGCTGCAAACAGGAATAGACGGCCAACTGTGGAAATTCCACAGCAAACACTTTGAGGTTGGACCACTGCCTTTTGTTTTTGTTGTTGTTGGAATGATGGCGCGAGTAATCGAAAGAGACCGCTGCACGAGTGCTTACTGCCCTGGGGTTTTCACACGTGTGTCACTATGCCACGTGTTTTCCGGTTGTGCAGCAACTTGTTGGACACGATGCCCGGGTGTTTCGCCCGATACGGCTGGGAGCTTTTCATTTGTCTTCCTTTCAGGAAATTAACTGCAGCTCGAGAAGCTCCCACGGCACGTACAGCGAAACGTCGGGCGTCAATGCCCCCCCCCCCACCTTGGGCAACAGCGCGCCTACTTAAACGCGACAATGCGCCGGAGTGCCGCGGTTTATCTCCAGCACTCACGTATTTCTGGAGGTGGGTTTCAGCGTCCGTGCTCAGCTTCTCTGCGGCGCGCAGGCAGTCCGAGACGGCTCGTCGACCGTGCGGGGAGGCGATCAGCGGAGCCCCCTCGACGCAGGCCCACAGGACGTGGGCGAGCAGCATCCAGCGACTGAACGAGCACGCGGCACCTGCAGGGCGAATGAATTGAAGGGAACGAATGAAGAAGAGAAAGAGAAAAGTCGCGGTGGTCGGACATTGGCGTTACGCCTCCGGGGTGTCGGTTGCATAAAAATGTGTAATGAGAAACATTCCATCCGACCGGCGTGGTGAAGTATGGTCAAACAAACCTATGGCCAACACCACTTCGGGAGGTCTTCAGCCAACAGCGTATAGACTAAGGGCTGTATACGATATGTGTGTTTATATATAGTGAGAAGTCGAGTGTCTTGAGTGACGGCCCTTCAGAGCAGAGGTTAGAAGGTACGTAAATATCGCCTGACGTGGCTGGGGATTGACTTCGCCAATGCAGTCCCCTCAATGTCGCTTCTAAAACTCTGTGAGATATCCGGTACCTAATTCACGTCTCCTTAGCTACGCACACGCGCAAGCATCTGTGTAGAGATTTACGTGCATGTCTGTCCACGCACGCGCGCGCAGCCTGTGAGGTGAATGGCTGCGATGGCTCGTGATTGATTGCAGATGCCCCCTGCCTCGTGCTCATCGCAACTTCGAAAAAAAAACCACAGCTCCCCCCCACGCCCCCTGTCAACACTTGCGAGCGTTTAAAAATTCGACCCCAAAAATAACCTCCGGTCTCGCAGTTTTTCAACAGATGTAAGTGTCTTCGTGCAATGCAAACGCATGCATGTTATTTAGTCTCTTAATTCGTTTGCCAAATTAAACAGTGCTAGCAGGGTAGCTTTAGTCCGAGATTTCGTGCAGTGTGTATTGACTCAGGGGGAGGAATAGAAAACCCATCTGACCCAATGTGTGGTCACTGCTGGAGTTCCTCATTTTGATGGAATGAGGCATCGGCACGTGGCCACATCCATAATGAGGCATCGGCACGTGGCCATAACCATAATAGAGGGGTTTTTGGGGGGGTTAGATCGCGTAAATGTATAAATGTTGTGTCGTTTAACCCACCACCACTCGACACAGCCAATTAGTAATGTTTGTCACATAAACACAACGTGGCCAATTCGTGACTATAGTACAGCACACCGGTGTGTTGGAGAGCCAAGCCACAACATTTACAATCTGAGTACGACGTTTCGCCAGTAATAACAACTAGCTTCATCAGGCGACAGCCAGATTAGTGGAGAAGTCCACCTGTTTCGTTCCTTAATCACGTGACAAACCTTACTAATTAGCTGTGTCGGGCAATGGCGGGGTTAACGACACATATATTTACGCGATCTAACCCAAAAAAACCTGCATTATGGATGATATCGGTCGCGAAAGCCGACGTGTTAAATGTGGCTACGCGTCAGCATTCGTTGGGATCGCCTACAAATTTAAATATACCAAGACTAACACAGACAAGTAAAAACCATCATGGAAAATTGCCCCCCCCCCCCACCACCACCGCTCGCTGCTCAAAATTATATCATCTGTACATTGCGACGTTTCGATCGACTGGCCTTTTTAAAGAAGAACGCAGTGCAGTATAGTCCGCAACTATAACAAACACCGCATGCCAAATAAGGACATGCGTGACATGCGATTGTGCCGAAACGCAACGAATACTTAAAATAATTGATGCGTTAAATGCAATGTGTGTTGAGACCCGAACGAGTACGCAGTGTCTCTTGGAGACACGAGGAATGCAAACAAAACGGTCTTAGCCCTGGAGGTCTCCGGTGCAACCCACCATTCCGCGGTGGCGAGAGTCTTGGAACCATCTGGAAAACGGAATGACGGCGGCGTGTCTGCATAGGTCTCTGGCGCTCCTCCAGTTGCGCTCTCGCCAGTTGCTTCAAGTCGGTTCTTGGTCGTCCATCGCAAGAGTCTGACTTCTTATAGTCGCCTCTAAGATCCGGAATTTTTGTCTGTGATGACCCTTGGGAAAATCCCCCCCTCCTCCCCCCCACCGCCTTCCACGCGCTGCACACATTTGGGGGAAAGTAAAATAGGGTGCGGTCTGGAGCATGCAACATGTTACCTACTTACACCGCCTCCCGCAACCTTCGATTAGCACGGTTGTCTACGTACGATGTGAAAAAAGGTCGGCAGGCATGCATGCGTGAGCAAGTAAACATGTAGGTTGCGTAATGTGACGACCAGAATGACTGCTGCGGATGTTGAGAAAATACAGTCGTCTACTCGCAGACCTGTGTCTGTCTGTGTGTCCTAGTCTGCATTTGGTCTCAGTCAGTCAACCCACGGTAGATGGGTCTGACCCGGGAACCTCCTGTCAGCGAGTCTTCGTGGCCTCAAAGTGCACCTAGCCTGGCACAAGCGCCTTTGTGACGTCACCGCCACTTGGCGTCTGTTGTTGTCGTGTCTGTGTTTTAGTGTGTGAAATCCTAACCCGTGCTCCGGGCTCGATTCCAGCTTAGGCCAACGTCGCGCAGTGATGACTATTTGGACCGGTCGACTCGGTCTCAAATCAGTACCTGGTGCGATGTGTAAACATCGTCACTCGGGAGACAAAGGCAGCCGGGCGTGGTGCTGGCCCCACGTGTACTTTCATATGTTCTCTCTAATTGTACTTGCTCAATCTGTGAAGGTTGTATAGGGAATCTTTGTCTTTGTAGTATGATTGTTGTTTGGGAGAGCGGTAGCGCAGTGTTGAACTCAATTCAATTCCCGGCCAGGACTAATATCAAATGCTAGTGGGGTTTTTTTTCGTATGGATATGAATTGTATAGAAACTATCGATGTCCAAGCTGTGAATTCAGCTGTTGGCTTAAAAGAACGACGAGTGAATCCCACAAGTGCGCTCGGAGAACGCTCGCAGTGGACATCAGCCCTCGCAGAGACTCATAGACACTCGCAGAGACCCATAGACACACAGAGACGCATAGACTCACACAGAGACCCATAGACGCTCGCAGAGACCCATAGACTCACACAGAGACCCATAGACTCCCACAGAGACACAGACACACGGAGACCCACAGACCCTGGCAGAGACCCATAGACACGCACAGAGACTCATATACCCTCGCAGAGACCCATAGACTCACACATAGACCCATAGACACACAGAGACGCATAGACTCACACAGAGACCCATAGACTCACACAGAGACCCTTAGACACACAGAGACTCATAGACCCTCGCAGAGACCCATAGACTCACACATAGACCCATAGACTCTCGCAGAGACCCGTAGACTCACACAGAGACCCATAGACTCACTCAGAGACCCATAGACACACAGAGACGCATAGACTCACACAGAGACCCATAGACTCACACAGAGACCCACAGATTCACAGAGAGACCCATAGACTCACACAGAGACCCATAGACACACAGAGACCCATAGACACACAGAGACCCACAGACCCTCGCAGAGATCCATAGACACGCACAGAGACTCATAGACTCTCGCAGAGACGCATAGACTCACACAGAGATCCACAGATTCACAGAGAGACCCATAGGAACCACGATGTGTTCCACCGCTTGTTGTCACGCGCCGCGGTGGCATTTGGGTGATTTCATTTTCCATTGTGAAAGAGGTGATCGCACTTGATGCGGGCGGAAGAGGGGAGGAAGTGGGCGCGGTGTAGTGAGCCTCCTGATGGCAGCGCTGGTTGATGACTCCTCGATGGGAGTCTTCGTTTGGGGTGATGTTTGAATTCACCCAAATTGCCGCTCCACCAGTCTGTATCTGGCACGCGGCCAAGTCTTTCTTATCTGAATCTGTTGCGGACCTCCGCTTGGGGCGACTAAGCCTCAAACGAGTCATCTGGGTGGCGTGGGTATTACCAAGGGGGGGGGGGGGGGGGACAAAGGTGGTCGGGCGTTGTTCGATGCACACCAGCCTTGTGTGATGTGATGGGCGATCGCTAACAGGACTTTTTTTAAATCGAACTTGGGTGCGTAGTGGTTAAGCTTGCTATCCTACGAGCTCAGAAAACCGGGTTTGATTCCCGGCTACAAAGCACATCATAAGTGGCCATTCGCAACTCGGTTCACTTCGTTCACTTAGCCTTACATATGGTGCAATATGTCGCGAGCATCATCATTAGGCTACTGGAGAGACAAATGCGGCTGGGATAGCGCGGTTCTGACCACATCGTGTGCTTTCCACTCCTTAATAGGATCTCGCGCATGCTGATTGCGTCAATAGATTGTCCATCCACGACTGGCCAAGTGCATCCCTGCGCTGTTGAGGTGTCGTGGGAGTTGTTTCACCATACTTCATCGGGCTGGTCAATACTGGTTCGTGAAAGTGGAAATAATCGAAGCGGGAGCGTAGAAGTACAGCACAACTACCATAGTGGATTATGCTGCACTGCCCTTTGCTCCATAATACATAACCCCGAAAACGATATCACCTGTTACACATGGTACTCGCCCGTTAAAGACATGCTTAGCTTCTGAGCTCTGAGCATAGTTTATACGATTTATCAAAGTCAAATGGGTAAAAATTCTACATTCCCATGACGGGACTAGGACACATGTTTCCCAGGAAACGTCACCAATGAGTGTGTATGTGATGTCCGTGAGAGTAACGCTTGACACAAGCGATGCGCGTTCAGCGCTTTTGTCAGTCCGCCGCTAAATGCGACTTCGCCACGCCGTGCACAACATTAGGGAATTAGTGTCAGACCATACTTCACCACAGTGGGTTTTGACACGTACGTCGATCGTAGACGCTGGAGCGTACAGGTGCGATAACCATAGATGAATAGATAGTAGCCGCACCCTTATAAAACAAATTATTGAGATAACTCAGTGAGGCTTTTTGCGAGTAAAAAGTTTCAGTTACAGTATTAGTCATATATATTCGTCTGATACTTGTGGTATATGAATCTATGCGTAGAGTAGATGAGTTGTGCCATAGAGTCTTGCCATGGAATGTGGCACTTCGGTTTTAAGACATTGCGTGTGGAACATTGTGGATGTTAAGCAACAGGAAAAAAAGACATTCACTAAATTTCCCTCTAGAGTTAAATTGCCCAACAAAATTATCCACTAATTATTTCAACACGTAAGGTTCCTCTTAATTATTTATATTAAGAAATTCGCGGTACTCTGTATGTATGTATGTTGAAAATAGGTTCCAATTATCACTTTTAATTGACGAATCTAAGTGCGTACATTCACTCGGTGTCTTATTGAAATGCGTTGCGTATATATTTAACTTCACTTTAGTTTTGTTAATTTATAATTTCCATCTTCAATCAGTAACTCCCCTCCCCCCCCTAAAAAAGGACAAACTTAGAGCCCCAACAACAACACTGGGTCATCGCAAGCTAAAAATATAACGCAATACAAATTTGACTTTTAGTCCCAACATTTCCCCCATTCCCGATCATAATCTTACAATTGTTAAAACATATATATATTTAACACGAGACGCGACCCAGTACAATAAAACAGCCGTTATCAAACGCATATAAGCACTCGACAATTGTGAAAAAGTACTAGGGGTCACCGCAGTGATTTCACCAGAGCATGGAGTATCACTCGCGGGCAGCCCCGGGACACGCAGCAATGCGTTGTGGTTTTTTTTGTATTGCAGAATAATTCGCGTTGGCGTTGCTAGCTGATGAGGTGTAATGGTGAGCGCATTGGATTTTCAAGTTGCAATGCAGAAGTCGCCGGTTCGATCGCGGCGGTTGAAACAAATAGCAAGTTTCTTAAATCCCCGAGGCAGCCGGTCCATCCAGCATTATGGATGGGTTCACCATTTTTCGATCGACAGGCGACGTGTGTATGTGTACGCATACTTGGGGAGCGGTAGTGTAACGGTTAGCGCGCTGCGCTATAAACCCGGCGATGGAATGTTCGATTCCCGCTCACGGCCAACACCAGTGACGATTATCTGAACTGGTCCTGGGCCTCTCTCTAAGTCGACTCGGTCCCAAATGAGCACCTGGTGCGGTGTGTAAACATCGCCACTAGGGAGACAAAGGCGGTCGAGCGTGGTGCTGGCCACCCACCCCCTCGTGTACCGTTCCGACCTTCATAGGTGCTCGCTAACAGCACTTGACCCTACAGGCTATACGGGGAAACTTAGTTTTTTTATGCATGCTGAAATTTGTTTCGCACCGTACGAAGCCAACCGCGCCGATCTTTCACTTATTAAAAATTCTGTTAATATATCAAAGTCGTCTTTCAGCCTTTACGAAGATTCATTCTCACCGGTTGTCTCTGGCACAGCGGAAGCGAGGTGGGGGGTTCGTGGATAGTGCAAACTCATAAGCTGCATTGGCTCCAGCGATCTATGTGTAGATTTTGCTCCCTATCCTCTAGGTTTAGATGTAAGACCCTCGACTTATCTCCTCCGCTGTGGGTAAAGGGTGGTGGGTACATCCACTTCTTCCAGCGTTGAAGAGTAGACCAAATGACCCTCAAGAGGGTCTTTCTAGACCTTCCCCGAGTGGAGGCCCTTCTGCCAGCGGTGTGGCGAGCAAGCAACTGCAGGGCCGCACCTTTATCCCATTTTACATCCAGTGGATACGTTACAAGTTGGAAATATCGGAATTAAAGCTGCACATATATGTTAAGCAGCAGTAGCTGGCGGCCAGTCATCCCAGCTGTCATCGGTCACGACCTATCCACTGCTGGATGCGCGCCTCCCTGCAAGCCGTCACCATCTCTTGCGTTCATTTAGCTCCTGCATAAAAGCTGATTGCAGCACTGCACGTCTGCCGAGAACAATATTTGTGATGAAGCTTTGAGCGCTTGGTCGTCAAGCCTTCCCTGAGAATGTTCGCAAAGGCATATAAAACATCAAGATCTTTACGCACAAAAATACCTCGCCACCTCAGTCTTTAACGACACACTGTGACAATGTCATCGTCATCAGCCACGGCCAATCCACGCCAGCGCTAGATATCTCTGGCTGAACTTAAACGCCTCGTTTTACATATTGCCCTACAACTTTGGGGGAGGGGGAGCACGCGATGGAACGACCGTGCAAGGTGCCCCATCCGCTGCGTCGCGAGTCAGCGCGTGGCCTGCAGTGATGTTGAGACTCCCCACCACGGAGCCACTCGGCCTGCAATGATGTCAGCGTCTAGACTTGTGAGTCATCTCGTTTCGAGCGCGACGGCACCTTTCCCACTGCCATTCAATGAAGCACAACAAGTGTTTGCCGCCGCTTCGGGAAAACAGGTGAAACGTGTGGAAATGGAAAGTTTACCATGGGCGAAGTTTGGGGCACCTTTATTCAATTCAATTTCTGTAGTTTACAATTAAGATTAAACTCGTTGGTTCTTTTAGTAAAGTGTGTCTGTCTTTGCGTCTCCGTGTCTGTATCTCGTCTCTTTCTCAAAATTTCACACAACTTCTAATTCAGCAATCTTTGGAAGAACGTAATCAACCAGGCTGTGCGTTAATTGCGCGTTGACTGACTCTCGAGTGTTAAATTAACACTCTGGATGGCAGAACGGTTGGGAAAATCCTGCCCCCTCTTGTGTAGAATAGAGGCCTCATTGAAATAATTTCAGGGGTGGTTCAGTGATATCTACTTCCACGGGCAGTTCTCCAACACCAACGGTCGCATTGCTACGTGAGAGTCCCGTTAAATTAAAATTGCTTTGCATATTCCTGCCCCGAGAAGTGCAATATTTGCATTTTTTTCAAGACATGCTTTAGATTTGCCTTGAAGTGTGGATAAAGAAGCCAATTGAAGTGACTTCAGAAGTAGATCTGTGAAATCATCTTCGAGGTCAGGGACTGGCAACCTTTCAAAGAGGAAGGGCCATATTTTTTGTTTCGTCTCTGACCAAAATTATTTCGAGAGCCGCATCACACGGAGAGGTAACTTCTTGTACACAAAGCGAGCAGGGCATACAGCAGATGACAAACACATTCTGACTTAAATAAACACAAACATGCGATGGAATCAACTGCTTCTATTTAGGTAATTTTCCCCTTAGTTGTATTTTTAACAATGCAGTTTGACTGTACATTTTGTTGTCACCAACACGCTCACATTGCATCTTATGGGGAAAATAGGGTCCGATTTACGACAAGGTTTCCAGCAACACATTGGGTCGTAAAAGCGGGGAACGCTGAGTTACTACATTTTTGGAGTGTAAAGAATCGAATTTTTTCTTTCTTTAAACAGCTGCCCGCAAGGAGGCAGCCAAAGAGCCGCACCCGGCTTCCGAGCCGCAGGTTGCTCACCGCTGTTCTCGGCCAATCTCTTGACAAAGGAGCGCTCAGAATGGAAATGTTTTCAGCTCATACCACGATGCTCATGGGACACTAGGAGTGACGTGTCCCATAGACGAGGCTGCGGATGGAATTGCAGCCAAAGGGGACAACTGTCTGTGTAATGGGAGTGATTAAATCAGCACACACGTGTAGGCTTTAGAATATAGCATCGCAGGACGGTGTGGGATGGTGATGGCATGTCGAGATCTTCATACAGCAGTGGCCGAGACGAGAGCTGATGATCGATGATGTTCACGATGAAGTGCAATATGTCGCACCGGTTTGCAGGAGTAAAAATACAATAACACAAAGTGAGAGTTGTCTTTTTTATTATTATTATAAAAATGTAAACGAATTCTCATTCAATAAACAGCATATTCAATAAATAACGTTGTCAGTGATGCTTTTAAATATGTATAAATAAATATATGTTCACGTAAACTTTGGAATTCACCCATTTTACGAAACGCCCGGCAAGTGCAAACCACCTTACATCCGCCTATTTTGTAAACCTAAGTGTCGGAGTGTGATTTTCTGGGTTGCATCGTATATTACTTTCTCAAAAACATGTGCAAAGGGCTATAAAGTGTGACCATCAAAACTTGTGCAGCAGTATTGGGTCATTGATACCTTGCAGCATTGTCACACATACACACACCTTCCTTGATATCAGTAATTCCACAAGACAACAACATAATAATAATTATCCAGTGGCGAATGAAAATCTTTCACCTCAATCACTCCAAAATAACAAATGTCTCTTCACAATGAATCGTGTGCTGCATGAGACCAGGGTCATTATCTGGTCTCGTTTAACATACATGTGACTGCATGTATGTATGTTGAACTTCTTTCACACTGTACGTAACCAACCATGCTAATCCGGGGTGCGGCGGAAGGACAACAAACTAAACACGAAAAGCAGTTCTAAAAATAAGAATTTTCAATCAACATGTAAACGTGCATAGCTCCAGTGGCTTCCTAATATCGCAAGTGAAAGCACCCCAGCACGTGTGAACGCGCGCGACACAGTGGCCACCTTTGTTTAATGGCTATCCATAAGCCCCTGCGAGGATGACCAGATTTCACGTGATAGTTTAGGTTCCTTGATGAGATTCGCAAGGTGTTGTGGTTCATTTGTGGCAAGCACTCTGTGCGTCATTAGTGCGACCTTATACTGTATATACATTAGAAACCAGTGGGGTATCGATACATGGGTCACCCTGTACATTGACATCTTAAATCGCAGTGTTCATCATCAAAAATGTTCGGACGACCACCTCGATCTGGTGGATAAAGAGGTGTAGAACTCGGGCCGTAAACACCTTTTTTGACCACGTTCCCATCAGCTCTTCCAAGTTTTCTGCAGTGACTTTGAGATCATGGATGTCCTGTTGTTCCTCCAAGCCAAACTAAATTAAATGACAAAAGCACAGAGCCATCCTTCATTAATATCATCATCATCATCATCGTCAGTCATGGTCTTTCCACTGCTAGATAAAGGCCTGCCTAGTTCCTACGCTAGTACTGTCCTTCGTATGTATGTATGTTGAACTTCTTTTTCACCATGCGCAGCCAATCGCACTCATCGGTACTGTGACGTACTGCGATGCCACAATCCATCTCCCTGCTTTACATGAATGGCCCTAACAGCTCCATCTCCGCAGCTGACGTAACCATTAATCATATTCTCACATTCGGATGTCATCTGTAGTGAGTCTACCGTCATCCATCGTCCCTTTTTGAGATGTCTCCTGTCCAAGCCCACCGCTTAAGAGTCAATATGTGTCTGATTTGAAAATGTTTTTCCCTCTTAGCCATGTGTTCCTCTTTCTGTCTGACATTGTAATTCTCAGCGTACAAGACGTGTGCTAATAATAGTCTTCGTTAACACCGAAAAGCCTCACTCAAGTTCAGTCACTCAATTTCGGAAGAGTCTTGCTTTGTTCAGTTTGACTAATTCCTGTTTCAGGGTTGTTGTATGTGTGGGTGAATGCACTGGAATACCCCGAAAAACCCTTGCGTACACTAGGGTTGCACTCAACACGGAACAGATGACATAACTCTAACCAGCTGACAAGCCTACTACAGACAACTAATTGCATGATTGCATTGTGTGTGTGTAACCTCGTCTACGTGTTACTATATTTAAACAGTAGAAGGAGAGTCCGACGATCGAATGTCTGAATCGAAACGGGTAAAACAATTTAATAAAAGCATATGCTGCTCAACAATTGGAACAATCGGTGTTGTGTCTTCTTTCACTTCTATTATTCTATAACTTCATGGAAAGCTCTAAGAAACTCAATCGTTCCCTCTTCCTCTCCAGGCTTATTTAAACTCCAATTGCCATTCCACCCCTTTTAGTCTGCTCTTCAACTCACTCAACTGCCCTTGACTGACAGCCCCGTGGCTGCACGCTGATCACACTCCCCACGTCACAGCCACGAGCTGTATGAGCTGTGGGGGCTCTGCCCACTCAATCGGTGCTGCTGTTGGTATTCACATTCAACGTCGGGAATCTCATCCCTGCAGTTGCCTGTTGTGGTACCACATCCTTTTATCATGTAGCCGCTCAATTCCTTGATGCATGAGGCAATATTTTTATAAGGATTGTGCTTCACTACATATTTACGGAACATACATTTTATATAAATTGTATATGGGAAGTGGTGGTCAGCTTTGCTATGAAATCTGTGACCTGATATTGAATTTGCTTCTGAGCCATGGCAGTGGTGAGTCATCGATCATCAAACCAGGCCTGGACCCCCCAACTCCACCACCCCCCACTGCACAATTCACCAACCCGCACTGACCAACATTGGTAAACCATGGTAAAATAGCACTCCATTTAACATGTAGGCTTTCGCGAGCAATAGTAGTAACAATAAATGTTTTTTGGGGGGGTTATTTCGCATAAATATAAATGTGTCGTTAACCCACCACCACCAGACACAGCCAATTAGTAAGGTTTGCCATGTGAACAAACCTGGCAATTAGCTATTATTTTAGCACATCTGTGTGATGGCGAGTAAACCAGCAACATTTACAATGGAGTACAACGTTTTGTTGGTGATTGTAACCAACTTCATCAGGCGATTTGCCTGAATTGTGAAGAAGCCTTCCTGATTCCGCTCTTAAATAGAGCAAGATGATGTCATCACTGTGAGCCGATCAGGTGCAAGGATCAGAGGGGCTGTGTCGCGTGGTGGTGGGTTAACCGTACAATTTGTATTTACACGCTTTAACCCAAAAACCTTTATTTTGAAAATTAGCCTTCATCAGCAACGGGTTGACAAAGGGCAGCAACTTCTAAATGGTGTATCGGCGCACTAGCTTCTTCAAATTATAAGTAATAACCCCCAAGATAAAAGTTAATAGTACATCACAGCGAATACCACTGGTGGCACTACACCCAGTCATTACTTCCTTCCTACTCCCAGATCTCATAGATGCTGCAAATTCAATAACCCGACATTCAAAGCTTGCTCTTACAGTCTCAAAGACCGCTCTTAAAGTTCACCATCACCACCAACAACAACATGTGGTTTAGGCCTTCTCTTTATTCGCTGACCCCTGGTGCTTGCATCTGGTGACCTATCCATCTCCGTCTTCATTATGCGCAAGTATCACGTGCGGGGTAACAGTGGTGTTCTCACCTGTGAATGGATGAGGTTCATGAGGTGCTTCATGTCGGTGTTGACGTGCTTCAGTCTCAATTGTCTTCCTGAGTTTTCAGTGATGAGCTGTAAGTACATCTCAAATATCTTCAAGTTTCTCCAGATATTCTTCATGCAGAGGTCATGGCTCTGTAAATTAAAATCGAAATGCATGATTAGTATACAAATTTCACAAACAACCGTTAAAGCATACTGCACAAATTAACTCATGGGCATTTTAATGTAAGTAGGGTGCCCTCTGCTATCCAGCAGTGGATTGAACATGGAAAATTATGATGACCGTAATTATTTGCACATCTCCTCTTCATCATCATCATCGAGAGTCAATCCACAGCTGGATGAAGGCCTGCCCAATCAGCCACCATTTCCCACTATCCTACGATATAATAATCCACCTCCACACGAGCCAATTGTATCACTCCATCCCACCGGTGGACGTCTTCTCGGATGTGTTCTATTCCTTGGCTGCTACTTTTGCCACCGTGCTTAGCGGTGAGATTATACTCTTGACGCTCAAGGATTCGTACTGATGCCGCCATACGCCCACAAATTAGAACAGCGGTGGTGGTAGCGGTGGCGACGGCAGTTTGTGTAACACGTACGGTATTGAGGGCAGCCTGACTGCAGTTATTCACGTTCGTTGGCAGCATCGCGGGAAACTCCTTGCCCAATAATTCCTCGCAGCCGCTCTGAGCCCTGCAAGGAGGCATCACCTCCTGCATCTGCACACACACACACAGCAAGGGCACCAGATGTTAACATCAACCACGTGACAGGGCAACACGGTGGTTTTGTTCAAATTATGGGAAGCTGCAATTTGTAACGTCTGGAATTTGATAAGCAAGGGTGTGTCCGTAGAGTACATTACTTGAATGGATGGTTACGAAAAAAAAGTGCAGGTTGCTATATAGGCTAAAGTTCGGGCGAGTGGAGGACCGAGACAATCTAAAGCAGTGTTCCTCACTAATTTTCGGTGGGGGCACTTTCGTCGATAAGACATCATCAGTGTGCGAGGGCTGCCACACATTTGAAACCATTGTTGGGTTTGACAGCAGCACGATGATGATGAAGATGATGGGGGGTGTTGTCACGTGTTGTTGTTGTTGTGTAACTGTCGGGGGACCGCACGTCAGGGGCCGCACTAAAGGCCACCAGGGCCGCCAGTGGCCAAAGGGGCCTTGCAATGACGAACGCTTCGCTAGATATTATTTGGGTCTTTCGGTAAAGTCACGTAAATAGGTTCAAATAAAAATAAAACTACGTTTCGATCGCAACACAAGCAGTCGTCTGCCTGAAGACCGCTTGTGTTGCGATCGAAACGTCGTAGTATCTACGTGACTTTACCGAAAGACCCAAATAATATTAATTCCTGCAGTCACGAAAGCTTTAAGTCAAAGACTGCGCGAGATGTTTTTTCTCCCCCCGTGATTATAATGCTCCCACGTCTATTGCCCTTCACCGCCACGAACCCGCAATGCCCAAGGTGGTGAAGTATGGTCAACGACACCGACGAGACGAGCGACATGGTGTGCAGAGGGCCCTCATCCAGCAGTGGATTGACACATGCGTAGTATTCTTGCTGTAAGTTACTCTATGCGTCCAAGCTGATAATCATGTCTCTCTGCCGGCAACGGCTGTGGAAACGATGCCCCCTACAGACAGCCTTGGCTCATGCCCCTCTTTACACCCAAAGCGTCGGCTTTAAACTGTGAACATCTAAACGGAAATGTTTTTCTCCAAAAGTCTCTGGCAAGTAATTCTCGAAATGTAATACGAGAGTTAAAATAGGAATTGCAACTATAAATTACGATTGCACTACAACTGCATGGTTATCGCGGAATCTCCCGACAAATAATGAAACTCCACCTATTGTACAACTTTCCTTTGAAGTGCACCGACGATTTATTGCATTTGAGCTGCATTGACTGTGATATAAAACAGATGCCCTTGCAGTTCGTAGTGGACTTAGAGTTACTGCCTGTGATGATAACATCTCAAGAATGCTGCACTGTACGAAAGAGGGAGAGGGCAGAGACGGTGGCGTATACTGTCCAGGTAATGAAGAGATGATGGTAAAACAACATACACAGTACGCCATTTCCTGGGATGAGAATTGTGGTAACCGCTTAGGATCTCAATGATGAAATAGTAAGCCGTATAAGAACAGGTTGGATTGCTTTTGGAAGAGTGAACTGAATCATGAAAGGCTACATTCTCACGTGCCTAAAATAAGGCAGATCGGATCAGTGTATATAACCTGCTGTGGCATATGGATCAGAAACGTGGATATTAACGAAGGCGTGCACAGAGAAGCGTGGCGAGAGAGAGAGGCGCGTACTTGTAATAAGTACATCGGATTTAAGTTGGCTTGGCAGTACACGTCCCATCTAGGTGTCGATGGACGATTTCAGCTCAAGGAGAGAAGCTACCCAAGGGAATAGCTACAGCGGAAATGGAGCGATGAAAATCAGCGTGCGAAAAAGTTATAGATGGTTACATCGTATGTGCAATGAGAGATGTGCGACTCTTGCAGCTAACAGTAGCTAGATCATGTCTGATGATAGCCTTGAGTGTTGACAATCATGTAACTCATAGTACTGTAGAGTGATGACCGTGATGATGATCTTTGTGATGCTGATAGTGAATGATAATGGGCAGGAATGCAGAACAACAACTGCAATTTCACAATCAGGTGGTCAAGCCAGATGACCGTCGTTGTGCGCTCTGTTCTGGATGACCACAGTCGCATACTGGAGTGTGTGTTGTTTGTTAAAGGTGGTTCAGGGTGGACCATGAAGCAACGATTATGATGATAATTCCAAGTGTAAAAACACACAGCCATACATGTGTATAACATTATACGCGTTCTGCGACAAAAAAAAAAACAAAAAAAGCTTTTGTACAAGTACCGTACTCGCATCGAATCGCTGCGGGTGGGTTGCCACAACTCACGTAATCATTTAAGGCGGTCTGAGAGTCGGTGAGCAGCTTCTCGGCGACGTTGAGCAGCAGCGGCTGCAGCCGCGGCTCGCCTGTGCCCAAGGGGGGCGGCGGAACGGCGCGTCCGTGCGTTCCCATCCTCATCGTGGACATCACCGTCATCGTGACCGTCAGCGCCTGGAGCCCGCGCAGCATGCGCAAAGACGCTGCGTGCACAGCGGACGCTGGTGCTGAGAGGTGGTGGTGGAGGGAGAAAGAGGTGGGAGAGAAGGAAGAGGCGTGAGCGAACGAGATTGGCGTCGCTCGGGAGGATTGCGAACGCACGCGCGGTTAATAATTCGCGTTTGTGTATCCTTTTGTTGTTCATTAACGTCAGTGTGCGGAATGCAATAAATGATGGCTTAGGGTGCTTGAATTGAGACTAATGGTTACTCGCAATGTACGCACAACTATCCGGGCGCCGTGTCGCCTTCGCGCTCAAATCGTGTTTTAAAATACTTTAACTTTGTTTTACGCATTAAACAGCCATAATCAGTCGATGTAATCAACGCGCTTACCGCCTACGCTACACACCTTAATGCTAGTCTTAATTTACAACCCCCTTTTCAATCCATTACTGGATGAAAAAGTGTCTTTGTTTTTCGTTGTTTACCATACTTCACGCTGGTCAGTGCGTATTCGGTGGGGATAAAACAACAATAAAAAACAGAGCCGTGTCACAAATGGTACCGGCCACCGATGTTAGCCGTGGCCGGGAATCAAACTCGGATTTTCCGGGCACATCACTCCCGTATAGAAAAACCGCGCGTGAAATCGTCGACTCGAGGCAAACCGTTCTTATTCCAGTGTACGCCGTGCAGGGTACCTGTCGGAATCATTGCTGTTACAAATTCGGATGCAAAGTCGCGTGCTCACGAGGAGCGAGTTTGTGTCTCGAGTTGAAAGACCCGACGGTTATTCACAATGAGCGCCATCCCCGTATTTATGTCCGGTATCTATACGGTCATCCTATTGATTCCGAAATGTGGGAAAGCCCAAATTTGTCGATTGCGTCATTACATCCGGATGCATTTAAAAAAAAAACATTTTCGTTTAATAGAATGACGTCATCCGACCATCGCATCCCACCGGAATGCATACCGTGACGGCATAGGATAAAGAGGGATTCAACAGACGTGAATAATTTCGGTTTCTATTTTACGTCAAACATAATATGCAAAAATACTGGACATTTCAAACACTCGCTCTTGTTGAATTATTTGGCGAAAACAATGACAATTTAATACATTGTATAAAATATACATTTAATGTAATTAAAATAATTGAAGGATATTGCTTTAATGAGAATTGCATTCGCGAATAAATAACGATATTTACAACGTAATTATTAACAGCCCTTTGTCAATCTACTGCTGGATAAACGCCTCTTACGTGGCATGTCGGTCATGTGGGTTGTTTGGCCATACTGGTGGTAGTCTGAGTGTGAGTGGGGGATGTTTGTCATTAAGTTAGAGTGTGAGTAGGGCTGGGTAACCCCTCCACAATGGCACTTCTTAAACCAAACGCCACGGTGAAAACACGGACTTAAGCTTGTGCTGGAGGCCCCAGACAACAGGGATTCATGACGCCTTCTGGCCAAACTCCATTTGACAGAGCCAGACTGACTTCTCCCACCCACCCCCCCTCTCGTGATTCCTCCAGGAACAGGAGACTACTGCAATTGGCCACATTGCGAAGGAGGGGCTGCCACTACTCTGTCGGGAGATGGATCGATACCGCCTGGACCTCTGTGGAATACAGGAGGACCGGTGGACCGGTTCTGGCTCCACTCATCATGAGGGGTGGACAGCTCTCCACTCGGGGCAGGAAACTGCCAAATAAAAGAAAGTGGCACTTTTTATAGTGTGGGATGCTGTAAGTCCCAGGCTGCTGGTGACTTGCCTCCCCATAAACAAGAGGCAATGAATGGTGGTGATGTTTGCTTATGCCCTCACCGAAATTAATCATCAGTGGACGGGTGCAGACAAAGCCGATTTGTCAGACGCCCTTTATAACTTCCTATCCCAGGTGCTAGCTAAAGTGGCCCCTCGAGATAGTCATCCTGTTGGGTGACATCACTTCCCAAGTGGATCACGATGCAGACACCTGGGTCGGAATGATTGGAAGGCATGGACCAGATCAACTCAATAATAATGGTAGGCGCCTGCTAGACTTTTGTAATTACCAACACGCTGTTCCGGCATCTGCGAATCACGCAATATCATGGATGCACGCCAGGTCCAAGTGTAGTATAATAGCGCCGACTGTTGTCCAGCAACGGCAACTGCGGTGGACAAGCAGTGCACACGCCGGTGAGCATCCGCACGAGTGTTGTTGACAGGGCGGAGGAACTGGGGCAAGGGTCATGGAAGACCCTGGAACCCACTAGTCTGTTCAAGAAGGGAGGCACGACCAGGGCGCAGCCATGCCGCTCCGGATAGCATAAAAGCAGCTGATAGCGGGAGCTCGTGGCTGCCGGTTCTGGGAAGTGGACTTGTCTTGTCGTCGCTGCCGTCTTCGCTAGATATTGCGCGGCCGGATAGTTGTTGGCTGTCTCGGTCGGTGCCGTCGGTGTTACACGGTCAGGGTTGTGTTAAGGCTAAGCTAGGCGACTAAGGAGAGTGCGAGGGTAAACCTGTGAACCTTGAAGGTGTTAATAAAGAAGGTGCTCCTGAAAAATATTGTCTCCTGCTCCGCTGACGCTACACAAGTGAGAACATCTGCTAGCCCGTGTATTTGACGCTAGAACCTACCATAGAGCTGTTCTGCCAACTGCCCATCAGCTAGTAATCTCTAAGATGCGCCTGCCATTCTTCCACTCTGGTGATGGGTGTCTATCTAGGACCCCATTCAAACTCACAGTAGCCTGGTCTCAGCTAGCTGAAGATAGTTGCAAGCAGGAATTTGAACGTCAATTGCAACTGGGGTTGGCATTGTCACCTCCTGATACTGAGGGGAAATGGGTGAGGTTCAGGACTGTGGCTCATGCAGCTGCAATGGCTGCATTGCATATGCAGTCCGGATGCACAAAAACATTATAAGTGTAATGACCAAAAATGACCCCAAGCCAATGTGCCGCCTAACGGCTATTCAAAGAGAAACCAAGGTCTCCGATTGAAAGAGGCCTCAGGAGGCGTGGCTTTTGACGTGATTGAAGGAAAAGTTTTTAATGAGAATAGGCGGGAAACAAAGTGGAACCCAGAGGCGACGGTTTGGATCTGTTGGAGGGATAGGACAGGGATTGGCTAAGGGAAATACAGTGAGGGAACATTTGAGAAAGGGGATCGAGGGATATATAAGCGGAGAGCACGAGCAGTGGGGACCTTCGGAGGAATATACAAGCTGGAAGACAAGCATGAAGCCTAGGGTTCCTGAATGTGGAATTCTTCAAATAAAAGTGGCTGTTTGTATAACTTGTCATCGAGTCGTTGCAGAAGTGTACTAAAACAGCCACGTTAGAAAAGAGATCAGTATCGTAAAGATGTGATATCTACAAAACAACGAAGTGATATCAAACGGCCATGGTGAACAAAACATTTTTTGGAGAAAATCTACAAAATTGCCAAGCTATATTACAATCTTGATTTGAAGCTTTCGTGACTGCAGGGATCCATACTCTTTGGTTATTTCGGTAAAGTCACGTAGGTATAAAATGAAATAAATCACGACGTTTCGATCGCAACACAAGCGGTCGTCCTCAGGCAGAAAAAATAATCCAGCAGTGGAACTGCTGAACCAGGAAGAAACACAGCAAGAGAGCTGTTACAACAAGAGGTTATATATGTGGCGAAGGACAAGCGAGCGGGGTTTGAGCTGGAAAGGAATTCCATCCCCGCAAGCAAGCACATAAGTTGTGTTAATGGGGGAGATTATGGGGAGAGACATTAGGGAGAGAGATTGGCATGAAATGAGCTTCCGTCGCTGCATATGCACACAACAGCAGTGTTACTGGGAGATTAGCACTATGTTGATGGGAGAGATTAGGCAGAGAGATTAGGGGGATTAGCAAGTTAATGTCATGTCTATGTGTAACACAAGCTGTGGCGCTGCCAACTGCGCTGTGAGAGGCAAACACGTCAATGCAAGAAAACCATCGCAATGGTGGTCGCGCCAGTGAGACACACAGCCCATCACACAGTCAGAACCATCGATACATCAATTCTAAGGGAGCAGAGGTGGCCATGTTAGTGAGACCCCAGCCCGTTAATGCAGGGGCACCCAACAGGGCAACTCAGAGAGTCGGAGATAACAGCCAAACGGCAAGGAAGAATGGAAGCACTACGCAAGTTACGACTTTGCTTGGTTAATAACGTCTTTCCAATGATTGCTCAGCGTATACCCATCTTCCCGTTTGAAATTGTCGCTGTGTTTATATATGTCTGGATGGCTTCATGGATAAATCTTTCATGGTAGCCCGAAGGTTTGCATTGGTCTCGGAAAAATCAATATCGTGTAAGCCCACTTCGTTATAACAATGTTCAGCCACGGCAGAGATATTGGTTCTGCCGTGTTTCAAATCTGCCTTTTGTTCGCGAAAACGGTCCGAGACATGTCGTTTCATTTCACCAATGTAACTGCTGCAGCAGACACAACTTAGTTTGTAGACATCAGGGTATTGCATGTCAGGAATTACATCCTTCACAGATGGGATCAAATCACGGATTTTGTGTATTGTATTGAATCAGACCTGGATCTTGTGTTTCTTTAAAATTTTGGAAATATTTTTGGTAACACCTGCTATGTATGGCAAGGTGATCGTTTTGATTGGGTCCTCAGATGGTTGTCTCCCCATAGTTGGGGCTACAGCTTTGCGGATTGTGCGGTCTGAGTATCCATTCATCTTGAGGGCTTGGTGTACGTGGTCCAGTTCACTGGCTAGGTGGCGCTGGTCGGAGATGCAGCGGACCCTATGGTGTAGTGTTCTGATGAGGGAGTTCTTCTGGGCTGGATGGTGGTGGGAATCAGGTTTTAGATAGGAATCCGTATGGGTGGCTTTCCTGTAGATGGAATGTCCCAAAGAGCCATCAGGCCTCTTCTTGATCAAAACATTCAGCAATGGTAGCTTGCCATCATTTTCCACTTCCATGGTGAATTTGATGGATGGGTGTATGGAATTGATGTGGTTGAAAAATTGGTCTAGTGCTGGCACAATAAATAATTGACCAGAAATAAGGGATTTAAAATTTCCACAAAAAAGTAATGAGACATCTGATTATATTTTTTTAAATCAAATAACCAGATCCCAATATAATGATTTGGTATCTGCCATCGGATATTTAATCTCCATATTCATCGACAGTAGCAATTCTCTAATATACAATGCAAAAAAGTATTGTGGTAATGGTATAAGAACAATTTTCACCAAATGTCTGGAAAATACGGCAGCAAAGTTTAACGAACCCAAAGAGACGATCAACAGCAGTTCCACTGATGGATTATTTTTTCCACCTGAGGACGACCGCTTGTGTTGCGATCGAAACGTCGTGATTTATTTTATTACATGCTTACGTGACTTTACCGAAAGAACCAAAGACTATATTACAATGTCAAATCCTATATAGACAGATGAATGAATGTGCTAAACGGCACACAAATTTAGACAAATATCCCCCAAAGCGCCAAGTTATATAAAATGACAAATTGCATGAAAAAATACATTAGGTTTAATGGATAGGTTTTTCTCAGTTGATCGAGATACAACTAAGAGAACATTTCATAACAGCACAATATAGCTGCGGCTTCACACTGCAGGATGCATGAGCTAATTTGGGAGGGTTTTTTTGTTGTGTGTGTCAAAGGCGGGCACTGCCTGTGGATTTCCCCCGTCTCGTTTGGTTAAAGTTGCGTTGAATACTGTGCGGGAAAGTTATCCAAGATCCCGTTGACCGTGCCACGTGGCTGCAGCCGCCTGAAATCATTGGTGACTACCAGAATTACGCAACATTTTAAACTTGGAGTTGTGATCTGAAGCTATAATTTTTATCAAATGTGAATGTGCAAAGTGTAAGTTATCCTTTCTTTGTTCAACTGTAACTAAAGGTAATCTTTTTCCCTTTATTATTCCGTTGTTTACTTCGAGTTGATGTGTCATTGAGTTTACTTTGGATAGTTGCATTTTTCTCCACCAACGTAACTTCCACAGTAAATTTCCACCATTTCCGGTCCCAGATTCG